GGGAGAGAAAGAGAGAGAGAGAGACAGAATGGAGATGGGGGCAGGAGAGAGAGAGAGGGGGAGAGAGAGAGAGAGAAGCGGGGAGAGACAGCAAAGAGGGAGAGAGAGAGAAAGGTAGTGTGAGAATATGAGAGAATGAGGGGAGATAGAGAGAGAGAGAAGGGGAAAGGGAGAAGGGAGAAAGAGAAAAGGAGGGAGAAAGAGAAAAGGAGGGAGGAAGAGAAACAGATGGACGGGGTTACGGAGGAAACTCCAGAACTCAGGGCTCCCCCATCCCCAAGGCAGCTAAGGGAATAGCCTCCAATGGTAGAGTGGTGGGAATTGGGGGATGCTTGAGGGGCCGGGATCGGAGGAACGCAGAGATCTTGGAGGGTTGTAGGAGGTGACAGAGATAGGGAGGGGGTGTAGGGGGCCAGCGGAGGTGACGGAGACAGGATAGGGTGTGTAGGGGGTGCTGGAAGAGATGACGGAGACAGGGTAGGGGATGTAGGGGGGTGCTGGCGGAGGTAACGGGGATAGGGAGGGGGTGTACGGGGTGGAGGGGTGATGAAGATAGGGAGGTATGAGACATCTGCAAAATTGAACGCTTTGGTTCCGCCTCGGGAATGTTCCGATATAATCTGCACCTGGCATCCATTCAGACAGTACTTTCCAGATCACAACAATTCCAAAAAAATTCCCCCTCGATCCGTCTCCCCCTCTGGTTCTTTACCCCGTTCCCTCTCGATCCGTCTCCCCATCTGGTTCTTTACCCCGTTCCCCCTCGATCCACACGGATCTGGGGAGGGGTGGAATCGTCATGGGGTTGGAGGTGGTGGGGGGGAAGCGGGACGAGGGGACTAAGAGGAGGTCACGCAAGCCCCCCTCCTGCTCGTTTTCCCCCAGGGCATCTCCCCACAGACACTGACCTGCTGGCAAACATGGAGCGAAGGGAGGAAAAGGTCACAGCATCTTCCTTTAGTGCTTTCAGCTCGTTTCGCAGTTTCAGCATCGTGTCCGACACCAGGCTCTTCTCGTTGTCATACTTGCTTTTGAGGTTCGAGAGGGCTACCTCGGCAGTCTGGGGGTGGGGGTGGTGAGGGGAGGGGGAATGGGTCAGGAGAAGCGAGGAAGCGCGTTACTGGCAGAAGAGCAGCCGACTCGATCTCGACGCGCCACAACTCACTCGAAGCGGCCACGTCGAATCGCAAACCCATCCCTAATTGCACCCAAGAAGGTGGGG